AGAAGTGTAAAATTTCCTATTAAGGTAGACCGAGGCAAATTGGATCACAGAGCGAATTGGATCAATGTAAATGTTGAGATAGTCATTATGTGTTATTAATTTTATTACTTTTTTTGTTTCAAAAACAGCTTGTTTGAAAGAAATAACAAAACTAACAGCAAATATTGATTAACTGTCTCAAAATATATATATTGATCCAATTCGTCTTGGTCTATCCTACTTGATTATTTAAAAAATTCAGATTCTCTATCGTCGAAAAAGATAAATTTAAAATGTAAAAATATAAAAAAGGCTCTTATATTATCAAAAAAAGTAAATTTAAAATATAAAAATCTAGTGGTGAAATTTAAAAAACAAAAAGTATTCTCTGATGAAAGTTTGATATAAAAATATTTATCTAGGAGACAACCATAGATTTACACATCGGAGAGTGAGCAGAAAAAGAATGAAAAGTATGAAAGTATGAAAAATGTTCTTGTCACTTGACATCGTTTGCGTTTTAGTCTATAATTAATCCTAGCTCGCAAAAAGAGTCCGCTGCAGATGTCGAGGACGGAAAGCACACAGCACCAGATTGTACAACCGCCTCCAAGTTAAAGATTTTAATTTTGTGAACAATTTCGCTGGATGAGACATCGCCGGTAATTAAGCGGCGGAACTGGGTAGAAAAACCTGGAAGTATCTCTCAGTTGCTCTCAGTCGAATCGAGTTTTCAGTCCTAGCAAGTGTAGTGAAATAATAGCGAATGTGCACGGACAAGCGTTTACGGGCAATGTTACTAGCGACGTCCTGTCGGTGCAGACTGTGTACGTCACTTTACTGTAATTACGAGCGAGCTTAATGCGCGCTGCGAATGATACCTATTTGCAAGCTTCGGTAGTGCATTACGTTGGATATCCTTTCGACGTGCGCGCGCGTGTAATACACATATATTGACTCCCCGTATTAATGCGGCTAAAGTCCGAAACACTGCCTGTCTGCGTCGATATTTCAAAATCGGCTGTAAGCAGCCTGGGATTGGAGAACGTAGAAATGCGATTAAACTTGATTTTCCGGGCATTTAATTAACAATCCGGTGGAAAACTCGTTTCGCCGATACGTCGCGCTGCAAAAACACTTTTGCTATATTTATAAATACAGAGTTTAAAATAAATGTTGTAAATACATAATTTATCCATTTTCTGTACAAGACGCGTTAATGTCAATTGCAAAAATATTCATAATTATGTGTAAATAACAGAAATTGATATGATTAATTTAATAAGGAGGTTTAGCAAGTACTATTCAAAATATTCAACAATTTCTCATTTATATGAAAAAAAATTAATAATAAAGAATGTAATATGTAATTTATACACAAAAAAGGCTATTCGTTCCTAAATAATTGAAAGAGACGCATTTAAATGTTGAAAATAAATTGAAATATTTGGACACATTAATACATTTAATAAAAAGTGAAAAACAAGCGCTCACTAATTATTGCTAGTGAACTCCTTATAGTGCTAACGCTAATGTATATTTCAAATTATTTAAAAATTAATATTATTTGATTACTTAAAATATACATTAGCTGTTAGCATTAAAACCTCGATTAAAACTAACTCGGCTCTCTCTCTTTTAATTAGCCTTGAACTACTGTATATATACTTTTTTATTTTCTTAACAGACGCTATATGCTGCCCTTTACCCTTACAGGGTATTACATCTAAATAAATTTAAAAGATTTTATATAATGCCCTAGAATAATTTTCATGTCGAGAAAGCAAGCTTGGTTTAGTGCAGACTAAGTAATGTATTGTAGTTCAGGGAACGTATGGGGATGAATAATGTTCACTGCACACCTTCGCCTATGACATCGACGAGTTTACTACCGTGTGTGTTATCGCTGGCGAAGCTGGAACTGCCACTGCTGCATCTGCTCGAAAATTTCTCCTCCTAACGTGATATATTGCACGATCGCACGCAATAAAAAAGATTAAAAAGGCAATGATGTAACAACAATATTGTCGTCTGCTATCTAACTGCATAACTTTATTCAAACAAATTGTATGTTTGGATTATAAATTTCGAAAATCAGAGTGACAAAAAAGTTTGAACACATAAAGTTTTGTGTTTATAAAACAAGTAACAAGCTGACATTATTTTCAGATTAAAATGACATTAAAGACAAGATGATATTATATTTGACGTTATTTTGATGTCAAATAATGTCATCTTATTATCTGGGCAGTAAGGTGTTTAGTTACATTTTATTAAATATCATAAAAACTCTGCAACAAAAACTTTTTCATCGGTTAATGAACTAAAGACTATTAGCTGCCTCGAGAATTTATTCATGAAAAGATGCATGGCTATTGTTTGTGCGCCTCCAAAGCGCCTCAAAATTAAAGCCATTTTGAATGTTAATTATTATTTTTGGTATTTAATAAGATAATTAACACTCTAAAGTTTGCTTTTCTGTAAATACGATATATTAATCTAATAAACTTTGTGAATGATCTACAAAACTTTGTAAACTAACTTTTTTATAGGATTTTATAGATATAAAAATGAAAAAAATTGACTGATGTCATTAAAGAGAGAAATATTCTCTAAAGAAAAATGTTTAAATAGTTTTCTTTAAAAAATCCTAAACACCTTATATTTAAATTATTTCGACTGTTGGACATAACTCTTCTTAAATATGCGATTCTTTATAGTGTTAATTAATGTTTATGCTATTAGCAGTTTCAATATTTACATCTTTCAATAGATTAAAATATCACGATGTCACATATGTAACATATGTGTTAGAAACGGCAGCTCGAAGCACGCGTATAGATACCCGTTAAATTTCTCATTTTATGCGTCAAGGAATCTTGCCGTAAATCGCGGTTTATCGAGTTTAGCCTTCGACGTAGAAATGCATTTATTCAGGTCGGCGCGACTGCTCGCCAACGAGATGGGCGAAACCATGTAGAAACTTTCCTTCTGCTCAGCGGTTGATGATATTTCCGGAAACCGAGAATATCTCGCTTGGTATTATCCTGCCGGTAAATAGGACGTGGAAACTTCGAACATGTTGCGAGACAGTACAATTTTTAAGCTGCGCGTACGTCGGACGAAACGTTCGTCTGGTTGTTTCGTTTCAATGTGTTCGCGAGTGTATTTAGTAGTTTTGGTAATAACAACCTGCGCCAGACGCGAACATTGTGTTTGTTCGAACGAACGTGACTTTACGGCGGCGCTTTAATTATGGAGATTATTACCTGCCGGTCGGACATTAGCTAAAATTTATGAGATTAACGTACATCCGCCAAATTAGCTGTTGCCCATCATCTGCTGGACAATTTGAAGTTTGCGAGATGATGTGTATCGTTGCATCGATTAACGTTATAAACAAACAATTTGTAAATTATTTACCTACTGTATAAGAAGAACTTAAGGTAAATTTAATATAAACTCTATGAAATTTAATATAAACTCTATGAGAGAAAGAGAAGTGAAGTTAAGTACCAGCTTGATAAAATAAAGTTAAGAAGTGTTAGGATATTTAGATGGCTACCTTTCTCTTTTTATGACTATAAATTATTACAACTTCTTTGCTATAAATCTGGAAGCGTATAAAATTATTCGATCAATCTGGAAATAATTTTTGGTTGTTGAAAAAGATAAAATATAAAAACTGAATAGTCAAATTAAAAAATAAATATTAAGCAATTTATAATATCTCAGATAAACGTAAAAATTTTTTGAGACGTAGCGAAGAAATTATATAAATAGCAGTAAAGTGCTTCAATAAAATATAAAATTTTTTTTATTGCATTTGTCTAACAATATTATTGTCACTGAAAAATTTATCAAATTATCAGTCTTATTTAGAAGTCTCATTTAATTTAAATATCAAATGACATTTGCAGATCAGTAAAGCGAAAGTACTTTCAAGTGCGTACTGCATTAACAAACAGTAGTACGTTCCCTCGCTAAACCCTCTTATCCCATTGTTTGCACAAGCGAGGGTGCGCACGCGAAATGGGAAACTCCCAGAAAAGTGATCGCGGAAAGATGCGCGGTCTCGCACGTGGATTTTATTGTTTTCTTTCGCGTTATATATCTGCCGCGTTGTCCCCGTGAAAATTCAGCGAGCGTGGAATCGTGGTACGTCAAAGTGTACGCCTGCTTCTGTCGACATCGTTGAGCTCGACTATTACTCATTCAATATTGCCCGGGAGCGGTAACCGCGCTTTTAAAGTGAAATGAAAGCGTAGTACACTGCTCTGTTTGACAGGAAGTTGGATTTATGGGCAAAGTCACCGGTGTCTTATCGCGAAATGTAAAAATAATCTGTAAAATTATTTATATTTTTTATCGCTATCTTATTTATTAACGTGTTCAAAATATGGAATTGCGAGAGTGTGTATTTTAGCGAAAAGTACGATAGAAATATTTCATTTGAAGCTTATAAAATCACAAGCTCATAAAATGCGTGTATTAAAGAAAAAGCGAATGTCTTATTAGCTAAATGCAACGTAAAATTAGTTATTTTAGTTTATTTATTTTTTATATCTAATTTTCAAGGTATAAGAAAAAAGGTATAAAGTCTTGAATATCAGAACTTTGAAGTAAATTTCTAACATTAAAAGAGGACTAAGTATTTGGTAAAAGAATTTCAAGAAAAGGTGAAAAAAGGAGCGTGTGATGAATTTGCACTTTCCCAATTTAAAGTAGCATAAAATACAATTTAAGGTTGCGTTCGGATAAGTTTTCTTGAAATTGCTTAAGAAAGTTCAAACTTTTTTTTATCTTACACAGATACTTGATCTTGTAACATGTAGCATTGATAGTTTTTAATAGAATAAAAAATGATAAAAACTTGACACAATATTAATTATTTATTTTATATTTTTCCTTTATACTCTTATTATTTTACTTATTTTATTTTATTTTTTTTTAAATCATATGTCTCCCTTTTAAACGTAGAAGAAGTGTAACGAGTAGCAATGCAGAGACATTTATATTACCTTTTGGCAGAAATCCAGCGTGTATTAGCCTCGCTTCCATGAGCAGAGAGGGTAGGAGGAAGCACATGGCCGTGCAGAGATGCACGAAGGTCGCTGTAGGGCCACCGTGTCTCCATAAATTATTCACCAGACCTAAAAAAGAGTAGTTATCACCCTGCTCAGCGTCTTTCTTGAAGTTATACATTGTAATTAAGATCAATCAATCGTCTTTGAATTAAAACGTAAAACAGATATTAGTTTTTAACCTATATTCAATTTTCTTTATGGTGTTATTACATAAATTTATTTCAATTGTATCAATCGATGGAAATGACAGATTGTACTTTTATGTGCTGTAAAGGAAAATTTTTGAAAATTTTCGAATAGTTAAAGAATTGCATCAAATTATTAAACGACCTATTATATATATATAAATTTTGAATAAGTCATCTCCCTCTTAAACTTTCAAATTAATAATGTTAAATATGATATTATGTATCAGATTTATTGTAAATTTTTTTTTTAAACACTGTTTTCATATATATTTGATTTGAATATATAATGTACATAACAACAAAATAAAAGTATTACGTATAAATATAAAGTACTATATAAACATAAAATAATTAAAGATCCAGATATCTATTTACAGTCTGCTTAAAAACAACAAAAATTCCATCAACATTTTCAATTCAAATAAAAATAAGTTAAGATAGCTATTAATTATTTTATGTCTTAAATATATCAATTAACAATAATTACAAACTTTACAGCATATCATGTGCGCTTTTTTATACTTGTGAAATACTTATTTTGTACTTTAAAATTATGGTTTACTTACTATTATCAGGATTATTAGTGAGAAGCGAAGATGGAGGGTCGCGCGAACAAGCACTCAAATGTCGACCTAATTTTATTCCATCGTTTGCTAGATTACCGAGTTTCAAGAACGCCGCACCAAGTAGCACCGGAAGTAGAACAACTCCGGTGCCGGCTAGCACCAGGCAGGCATACAATTCAATTTTAGGAGGTGGCGCGTCCGCTGGCCATGGTAATGACAAGTAAGCTAAAGGAATTAAACAAAAACACGCAAATTAAACACATTAGAAAGAATAACGTTTTACATATTGTACTAAATATATTTAAGAAGAAGCATGTGAATTGATATTGATGTATTAAAAAACAAATTAATTTGTCGAACTTAAAATTTTTACCTTTTTAAAATCTTATTTTAAAAAGGCAAATTATTTTTATTTAAAATCTTATTTTGGGCTTTCTTAATTACAAAATTGTACCAATTACTATGATTGTTTTCATGAAAAAACTTAGAGATTATAAACTTAGAGATTACCTTCTGTTTCTTAATCTAATTACGATAAAAAAAGTTTTTTTTCGAAGGAAAGATAATCTCACTTTATAGGGCAATTAAACAGCTTTCTTGATATCGCAAGTAATTAAACGAAAAGCGATAATAAAGAAAAGGAAAATCATTCGTTATTCCTATTTAAATTTATAGTCGATTAAAGAATTATCAGGAAGCACAACATTAAAATCCTTTTAACAGGATGTTAATTCGTTTACAATTTCTTAAATCTACAATCTACTTAACTAACAATTCTCTGATTTTCTGTTAATCCTATCGAAATGGATAGGATTAAGATCTCTTTTTGGAAAGAGATAGATAACATGAAAAATTTCGTTGGCAATTCCGTCTCTACCGTGTGTCTTTTACGTAACGACCTCTGGTAACGGAAGCCTCGTACTAGCTGCCAAGAGAAGAAATTTACGCAAAACCGCCGCCGGAAACAGTCAGAAAATAAGGAAAAGCAACGAACCATTCGGAACCTCGCTCAGAAGTTTTACTGATTAAAGTAACAAATGAAAGGGGAAGAGAAGCGCTTCAAAGTCGCTAAAGTAATTTCATAATCATCACTTTGTTCTTTTTATTTCATAAAAAATTCATTAAAGTTATACATCAAATAATTCTGCAGATATAAAATCGTTGTATAATCTTATGTTAATATCAAAAAGAATGAGGAGGTTCCATCGAAGATTTTATAATATGCATTGATGAGAGATTATCAGATTCGATTCAATTGTACGTGACAGTAAATAGGTAATTTATTCGGAGACAAAATCACTGGTCCAAAAGGAGATTTTCGGATAATCCAATGTTGTTAACGTGATCGATCCCGTAGAGAGGCGTATTTTAGCAGAATAAAACGAGGTAGAGCTATCTTACCGGCGAATCGTCTGGCGTATCTCATTGCTATGTACGCTTGAAAAGCGACAGCAACGATGCCGTACCAGACGGACCAGAGGCTGTTCACATGACCGCGTATACATGATTCTTTCCTCGTAGATTTTCGTGCCCTCTTCGACTTGCCCGTGGTCGTGGTAACACCACCGGAGCTTATACTCGATACAACCGGCAGCGGCTTCAACGGCTTTTTACACTTGGCCTGGTTCACATCGTTATTGTTTTCGTATCCCATTAAGCTCCCAGTCATCGACATTTTGTCCTGAAACATACAGTTGAGAGCCATGCGTTTAATTTAATCCAATGAAAGTATAATGTCTATTAGAATACAAGTTGTTCAAGTGAACATTAAATTAATTTTATTTAAAAAAAATGTTCGTATATATTTTGATCTTTATTTTGGGCCCTTCTCAGTATATAAAGTTATATATACTAATCCGTAAAAATGTTCACAAAATAGTTCCCAAATTTCTAAAAAACTAGTCAATCCTTATTCAAAGAATAGAATACATGCTTTCGTAATCGTGTCGCATATAATTATATTTTTAATAAAATTAATTTAATGTTGAACAACTTGAACAACTTGTTAGCTCTAATAAGCACATTCATTGATTTATTTATTAAAGCCTGAATTTGATTATTTGTGTAACCTAAGTCCGGCCATACACGTTCAAGCAAATTTGTCAAATATGCTTGCACAAGCTGCTTGTGCAAATTTATTTGAACGTGTGTATCAGAAAACTGCACAGTTATTTTGGCTTGCACAAATAACTTTTTTGACACACATGTTCAAATTAATTTGCACAAACGGCTTACGCAAACATATTTGACAAATTTGTTTGAACGTGTGTGGCCAGCCTAATACAACTATTGTGTACAGGTGTGCGTGCGTGCGCGCGCGCGCGCACGTGTGTGTGTGTGTGTGTTACGGACTTTTTTATCATTACTGAATTTTTAAACTTAATACTATTTTTCGTTTAATAACTCGTGATGTCAAATATCTTTGATAAATAAGTTTCAAATATGGAATCATATTAAAAAGATTTCAGTATTAAATAAAAAACAAATTTTTTTTTGTTTTAGTTATTGAAGTTTAATATCATCGTAAAAATCTACTAGTCTATAAAGTCTTTCTTTTATCCATATTCTTTTGTCCACATTTTAGAAATGGTTCAAAATTATGAAAAACCGCAAAATATATATTCGATTATCTCAAGAAGCCTCGCTTCCTTTAAAGGAATAGCTTCTTAAAATAATTATTTCGCGGATTCTTATAGGAGGTAAGAATAAATTGTTTTGTAGACATCCTGTATATTTATATAATCAAATACATAAAACCAAAATTTTTAAAAATTTATAAAGCTAGGATTATAATACCTACTTTAAACATAAACATACACACACAACTCAAATAATGCTTTTTTTCGTTGTAATAAAAATATTCCTGCTATTTAATATAGTTTAACTATAATTGAATGTTAATAATAATTATATATAATAATAATAATAATAATTTTCCAGCAAAAGTTTGATGCTGTTCTTTTGTAAGCTTTTTATTTGTGATGTTAATTTTTATTTGTGATGTTAAATTAAATAAACGTAATAAATTTCAAAGAAAAATTGTGTTAAAATAATTTACACAATATTAAATAAAATTTTCTTTCAATTATTTATGAAACTTATGTAGCTTAATACAAAATCATGAAAGTCTACATCTAATTAAATACATAGAACATAACAATATTTAATGTTTTATGAAATTGTGAGATTACAATACTCTGAACATAAGTAGCTTAAATAAAGCAGCTTAAATGAACTGCGATTAACTATCCAATAACATTTTTATGATTCAAATTCTTTGCACCTGTTTCAATCGCATTCTAATCTTTGTTAATAATTATTCGAACGGTGACGCTTTCTCTTGAACGATTCAAGTCATTTTCATTTTGCTCGACTACGCAGGAGTTTCAATGCGTTCCGACGGTTTATCTCTTGTGCGCCATTGAACCTCCTGGGAGACTCTTTTTTTCTCGTTGTATCTTTTCTTGCTGTCTGCGCTAAAGAGAGTGCAGTTCTCGTCACTCCCTCTTTTCTCTCAGTATTTCATAGTCACGTTGTGCGGAAGCGAGGAAAGTCGCGGATGTGGTTATGCTAAAATATTAGGAGGGTACAAAGCTTTAAATTTCTTATTTTTAATGCTAAAAATAAAACTAAATTTAAAATAATTCTTTTCGTATTCCAGATAGTCTGCAAATAAATTTTTTAGCATTCTTTACATATAGAACGTAACAAGGACTTGTTACATGTTGAAATTTTCAACGCATCTTAATTGTCTTATGAATATAATATTAGCACTCTTCGCAAGTCTTGACAAATTTATAAATGTCATAAATATACAAGTAAACTACTCTATCAATTTTTCTCTCGAACGAAAACTTAATTAAAAAATGATAATTTACAATGACTCTAATTGAAAGTAATTAAGAAGTTTCATCATCTTATATTGTTTTATACTATTAAGTTATCGGTTTTAATATTACGTGGACCGCGTTGCATTTGTGAAATAAGGTGCCATTTGTCTCGTCAGAACGTGAGGTCAGAGTAATTAAAATATAAATGTGCAGTTTTCAGTTTAGGACTTAGTGGAGGGCATTGAGCATGCTTATACCTGTTCGGTTACGAGCCGGGTTTTCAGCCCCTCGCGCTTGACTTCTCCGAGTCTGGGGGTTGTAAAGTGCAAAGTTTTATGATCGTTTTCGTTGGATTCGTTCCGCGATAAAATTTCAAGGAGGGAACGACGAGAGACGGTGCGTGCGAAGAAGCACGTGCGTGACCGTATCAGGGACTTGAGGCATGTATTCGCCTTCCTGTTTCACGATCTGAAAATTTATAGTTCCCCCGCGTACAACCAGCCACGAAATCCCCGTTCCACAATGGCGGACCTTTCCTTCTGCTTCCTCTTTCCTTCGCAAGCATATTCGATATCTGGTTTCTAACGATCATGATTATATAAAGTAAATATATATACAAATGTAAACTGACACATAAATGATACAAAATTATTTTAAAATGCGTTATGCAATAGCAATCTGTCTAATTAATGTACAATAATAAAATCATACGAATATCATATGAAATATAGTGAATGTAAAAAGTATTTATTTCAGGGAAAAATTTGATTTAGAAAATCTTATCTCTGTAAAAAATAGAATTAATTAGTAATTTTATATAATGCATACATTCTGTTTAAATATACAACGAAATTTGCGTATTCATGATCTAAAAACTAAATTTTTCAGCTCTACGAATACTTTATTTGCGTATAAATAATAAAATTTTTATTTTCACTTTTTTTAATATACTATATTTTAATATTGCGAATGACCCAATTGAGATATGTTACAATAAACTGTTTGTTTTTTAATAACATAGCATTAAGATCTTACTTGGCTCGTAATTA